AGAGACAGTGTGCTCCCCAAAGATTGAGACAGTGTGCTCCCCAAAGACTGAGACAGTGTGTGCCCCAAAGACAGAGACAGTGTGCTCCCCAAAGACAGAGACAGTGTGCTCCCCAAAGATTGAGACAGTGTGCTCCCCAAAGACTGAGACAGTGTGTGCCCCAAAGACAGAGACAGTGTGCTCCCCAAAGACTGAGACAGTGTGCTCCCCAAAAGACAGAATCAGCAGCTGAGGAAAATAATTTTGTCTAGCATCCAACTCAAGATTCCTAAGGAGAAGTTAAAATCCATTTCTACCCAACTGCAATGCTGCAATAAAAATATGTATGTGTATAGATGTGTACAGATGTACACACACACACACACACACACACAAAAAAAAAACAAAAAAAAAAAACAAAACAAAATCCAGTCTGTCTTGTGGCTGCTATCTTTGGAAATAAAGATGTGTAACTGAATGGTTCAAATAGATAATTTAAATTTCAATAGACTATCTTGGCTACAGCCTTTGATCGCTGGTTAATTTAACTGGTAAGCAATGTCTCACAAGAACAACACAGTCGTGCATCATTTATAGATGAATTTTCAATTCCTTTTAGGAGCTGCTCGCCCATCCCCCTGCTAGCCTTACCCAGTTAATTTTGAACAACGCTATTTTTCTGCTCCATTACCCCTTCCAGCCCGCCTCTCAAGTGTAATTAAGCTATGCATTTCAGCAGATGAATTGTACCTGTGAATGCACTAGAATCACACAGCACTACCTGGGGGCCAACTGATGATAGACGTTCTTTTTTCTTTAAAAAATTAAAAAAATTTTTTCTCAGAGTTGAAAGTTAGGATTATAAACGTTTCTTCCTCAATCATTCTCCTGGATAAGCCATCAGAGTGAGTCAACTTTAAAAACAAAGCCCTGTGTTCCCAAGGCTGGGAGCCTCTGCATAGCCAGGGGCTATGTCACACTCACTGGGTCTTCTCCCAAAGATAGGAGGTGATTCTCTGGTCATCTGTGCTCTTGCTGCCATCCAGGGTTGTACTGTCCACAGGCAGGGTCAGCTCTTTGTCCGGGCCTGCATCTGCCTGAGGGGGCTTGTTGTTCTCTAGGACACAAGAGACACGGCCATCAAAAGCGACAGCCCTGGGAGACCCACAGGGCATCTGTTCTGGTAGCCACTGGAACTCTGGCCCTTAGCTCAGAGCATTATAAGATGAGTGGGAGAGATGGGCGCCATCAGGGGACTCAATGAAGAAAGGACTGCCAGGTAATTCTGAAAGCAGCACGTGCAGCACAATGAAGCTAGGGCACCGTGCTCTATTTGAAATCTAACACAGTAGGGTGAGAAGGATAGGACACTGCTTTCCAGACCAAGTGGGTTCTACATTGGTAGGACTTGAGATGGTGGAGGGTCTATCTCCAAGGCCGAGACAAAGGCACAGTACTAGCCAAGGGAAGGGCACAAGATGAGGCTTGGAAGTCTTTTCCTGGCTATGCAAGAAAGCACAAGGCAAATGGGTAAAAGAAGTTGTTCTCGGGCTCTGTGGAATGGAGCCTTCACTTCTATCCTCCTAGGGCTCAGAAAAACCCTCCTCTCTGGAGCCCAGGGTTAAAGGTACCAGCCCTTGGAAAAGCCTGACCCCCAAGGACGGCTCTTACCAGGCTGTACAATCACAGTCACTTGAGCAGTGGCCTGCTGTCCTATTGTGTCAGTCACTGTGAGCTGGTAGGTATAGTCTCCTTCTTGCATTGCAGAAAGCTGCAGCGTTGGTGTTCTGACACCCTAACAAGTAGAAATCACGCATGGAAGAACGGATTCCCAGAATCATAACACCCCACCACAATTCCTACTCCCACAGATGTGGTTTAGCCAGTTTTCTAAACCTAAGTTGGAACTGGACTATCACCTCCCAGTCCAGTATAATGAATGACCATTGAATTGGACAGCATGGAATATTGTGCTAATAAGAATTCATACCAGGCATTGTGGCACTCTGGAGGCAGAGGCAGGTGGATCTCTGTGAGTTTGAGGTCAGACTGGTCTTCATAGTGAGACCTTATCTCAAAACATATATACATACAGATTCCTAATAGCAGGGAAACCTAACAGAATACATGAACTAAAGCTAGGTAGAACATGGACCTTAGGTTAGGCCTCAAATCTGGAAATACAGAATACTGAGAATCAGAAGGAACATTATAAGTAATGGGAAGCAAACTTCCAATGTAGGAGCTTCCTATAAAAAAAAAATGGGTAAAAAACAGGCAGCCTGTGGCTGAATCCAGCTTGCAGGCATTTTGTTCGGCCTTCAGTACTGAATAGTTGGAAATTTTCACACGAAAGTCTCCATTTCTAGCTGCTCTTAAACAGCAGGGTGTTAGAATCCTGGGTCCATATTTTCACATGGCAACAGCCAGCAGGACCCGGAGAACAAAGAACGCCTCTCTAGGATCTAACTGTTCCTGTTTACCATGGCCCCATCCAGTTTTATTTATGTGACCTGTCTGGTAGCAGATCTAGTCCACTTAAAAATTCCTGGAGAGAAGATACCTTGCAGCCAATCTACTCCAACGGGCTGATGAAGACTCACCATGGTGGCACAGAAGTAATTTACTTTCTGAAATTTAGAGCTCCCATTTCTCTATCCAATTTCTCGATACTACAAGTTTCAGATAATCTGTTAATCAGAGGCCCCTAAAACTTTCTGGATTTTTTTTTTGAGGATTTTTAAGTCTAAGTACACAAATATGACTTTGGTAATTATAATGGGACAGAAATAAACATTGGGTGTGTGACCTACTAGAGCAGCTGTGTCCTGAGTACGAGCATTCCCTCCTACCTGCATCTCCACCACCTTCCCTTTGCTGCTTGGGCTGAGTGACCACTCATAGCTGGTGATGCCATGATCGTCAGTACTCTGGTTCCCGAAGAGGGTGATGGAGTTCTGAGGTAGGGTGATCACTTGGTTGGGGCCTGCGTTGGCCACAGGGGGGTAATCCACAGCTTTGTTCACTGTCAAGCTTGCAGTGGTAGAATTGGTAGCTCCATCGGAGTCCACAACAGTCAAGCTATTGGTAGAAAGGAGTGCAACAGAGGATGTGTTTAAGGGAAGAGGAACAGAACTAGACGATATCAAGGAAAAGCAACAGCAAGGTGGCAGGAAGGCCTACTCCTACTCGTTCCTGTTGGAAAGGCAGAGTGATGCCAGACTGAGGCACTGACTAAGGGTTTACCATGTGCCAGGGAACATTCTAAGTGCTTCGGCTTTCAATGAACCTACATAAAGGTTCCGTAAAGTGCAATCTTCATACTGTTCCATACATCACATATGACAAGACTGAGAGGAAAATAGAGAAATAAGTGACTTGCCCAAGGTCACACAGCCTGACAGTGATGGCCTCAGGATTTGTAATCCAGTCTGTTCTGTGGCTGAATGTACCTATGTGCCAAAGCCTTTCGAGTGGTGTTTAACACAGCCCTCCAACAACCATGAAAAGTAGGTATCAATTCCAAAGCCCAGAAGCCCCTTTCTTCTTTCCTTACCTTCTTTTTATTTTAGACAAAGACCCATTATGTAGCCCTGGCTGGCCTACAATTCACTATGTAGATGCAGCTGGCCCTAAATTCATAGAAGAAATCCCCGTTTCTGCCTCTCCAGCTCTAATATTAAAGGTGTGTGTCACCACATATAGCTCTTTCTCTCTCTCTGTCTCTCTTTCTTTCTTTCTTTTTCTTTCTTTCTCTCTCTTTTTCTTTCTCTCTGCCTTTTAAAAATATTTATTTATTTATTTATTTATATTTTGGTCTTTTTGAAGCAGGGTCTCCCTGTGGCCCCAGCTGTCCTGGAACTCACTATGTAGACCAGGCTGGCCTTGAACTCACAGAGATCCGCCTGCCTCTGCCTCCCAAGTGCTGGGACTACAGGCGTGTGCCACCATGCCCGGCTTATTTATTATTTTTATTTTATGTGTATGAGTGTTATGTCTGCATGTAGGTAAGTGCACCTGTGTCGTGCAATGCCCATGGAGGCTCAGAAGAGGCTGTTGGATCCCTTTGAACTGGAATTATGGACAGTTGTTAGGTGCCATGTGGGTGCTGGGATTCAAACCCAGGTGTTCTGCAAGAACAGTCAATGTTCTTAACCGCTGAACCATCTCTCCAGTCCCTGTCTGTCTTTCTTAAGGTAGGGTATTGCTATGTAGCCTAGGCTGGTGTGCCTTGAATGCATGATCCTCCTGTCTTAGCCTCCCCAGTTCTGGAATCACAGGCATGCACTACCACGTCCAGATCAGAAACTCATACTTTTGTTTGTTTATTTGAGATAGGGTATCCCTGCACCCCCAACTGGCCTGGAACTCGTTATGTAAACCAGGGTGTCCTTGATCTCACAGAGCTGTCTGCCTCTACCTTTTTATTTTAGACAGAGACCCATTATGTAGCCCTGGCTGGTCTACAATTCACTATGTAGATGCAGCTGGCCCTAAATTCATAGAAGAAATCCCCGTTTCTGCCTCTCCAGCTCTAATATTAAAGGTGTGTGTCACCACATATAGCTTTCTCTCTTTCTTTCTTTTTCTTTCTTTCTTTCTTTCTTTCTTTCTTTCTTTCTTTCTTTCTTTCTTTCTTTCTTTCTTTCTCTCTTTCTCTCTCTCTTTCTCTCTTTCTGAGTGCTGGGATCAAAGGCGTGTGCCACCATGTCTGGCCAGAATCCCATTCTTAAGGACAATCCCTGGCCTCCCTTCCTCCAGAGCTGAAAGACAGCACACTAGTCTGTATAGCAGGCTGTCCACCATTGTCCTGTTTCAGCTGTGTATACAAGAATGGACAAGGACATCCTGGGCACAAAGCTCTGGGCCAGACTAGCAAGGCAGGAGCTCAAGATGGAAATGAATTCTCCTACGCAACATGCCCACAGTTTGTGCCAGTGAGAAACAGGATTTGAAAGGGGAAAAATGTTCTTTTCTAGGAGCAGGCTTTTACCTAAGTGATGCCTTCCAGCTGAACAGCCTAAAGCTTCTTATGCCACCTCAAAATGTGAGCACAAGCAAGCAAGGAAGCTTGGGATCCTTCCATGTTGCTGACAGAAAAAGGAAAAGCACAGAAAAAGACATGTGGTATGTTTAAATCACACCACCAGCCTCAAAGTGAGACATCTGTGGGGCTTCCTGCCACAATCTCACCTTTTACCTTTCGTCTGAGGGGGATCTGTGGTTTTATAGCCATTAGGGAAAAAAGCATAGAAACTTGGACACATGAACATGTACAAATCAGCAAATATTGAGAAAGGAAAACTACCGATATTCTGCCTCTTTTCCCAGTTTCCCTGTCCCCCGCCCCCACCGGTTTGTTATTGTTAATACACCTCACTTGCCACTTGTATCAGACAGAATTAAGCTCAACACATGGTCACTGCCCACTGTTCTGGCTTTCACCTGGAATGGTCCCTGGCATGCCTTCAGAGATCCTAGAGCCAGAGGGCAGATGACTACAGGGCTGAGGGGAGGCTAATGCCATGGGAAGGCAGGAGTGAGAAGACAAATGAACATTGGAAAGGCCCTAATGCTAATCAACTCCATTTCCATCATCTCGCAGATTTAAAAAAGAGAGAGAGCTAGGGGGAAAAGCATCATTCTTTGTCTCTGTTCATGCAGAAAACAATAGATTGGCACTGTGGTTAGAGTCTGAAGTTAGAGTACTGTGTAACCTTGGGAAAATTACTGAACTTCTTTGTGCCAAACTTTTCTAAGGTATAAAATAGGGCTGGAGAGATAGTTCAGCAGTTAAGAACACTGGCTTCTCTTGTAGAGGACACGGGTTTGGTTCCCAGCATCCACATGTCAGATAACAACTGTTCATAACTCTGGTTCCAGGGGATCTATGGGTATGGGTGATCTTACACACACACACACACACACACACACACACACAAAGAACTTATATGTAGCTGGGCGTGGTGGCACACACCTGTAGTCCCAGCACTTCGGAGGCAGAGGCAGGCAGATCTCTGTGAGTTCAAGGCCAGCCTGAATACATAGTGAGTTCCAGGACAGCTGGGGCTACAGGGAGACCCTGTTTAAAAAAAAAAAAAAAAAACAACTTATATGTATAAATACTTACAAAGGGGTGAAGTAGAATGAACCCTGACTTGAGGATGAAGAAATCAGCTTTTGATTTCTAGCTATGTGACCTTAGACCAGTTACTAAATAAAAGTCAGTTCATTTCTTTGGGAACAGTATCATCTACATAGTACTCATTATACTATATTCTAACATAAATTATGCAAATACCTCTAGTGTACTAAGTGAGACATTTGTGGGGCTTCCTGCTATAATCTCACCTTTTACCTTCAGCCTAAAAGCCTTATTAAACACATTCTAAATGTTAATGCTAATTCCCCAAAGGACTTTCTTCAAATCAAAGTCCCCAAATGTCCCAATACAGAATGACTCTATAAATCATCTTCAGACTACTAGTGAAAAGTAAAGATACCCTAAACTAAGGAAGCATTTCCCAAAGAGAAAAGGCAATAGGAGGAAAGGAAACTTCTAAATTTTGCCCGAGAGGAGGTGAAAGAAGATGAGTTTTTCCCCTTCATGACATAAATCCTGGAAGACACCCAGGGATTTTCCAGGCAAGGCTTTGAGAAGGATGGACTGTGGTAGGTCCCACTCTGCAGACACTGTGGCCTAAGAAGTCAACGGTCTTATAGTCAGTCACTACATGGCTACATTCTCTACCAACCCAAGGTGAATTGATATTTTCTGAGTTATTCTTACAAGGTTAACTTGAGGCCGAATCCTAATTTACCTGAAGGTGTAGTTTCCAGGGACGAGCTTACTTAGTTTTAATATGGCTGTATCTTCAGAAATCTTCTCTTCCCTCAGCGGCCCCTTGAGCTCCTCCCAGTGGTACTGGACAATTTTATCATCATCAGTGCTTTCTGGACCACAAAGAACCTTGCATTACAACATGAGAATTCTGGATCTCAGCACTTCTCCAGTTCACACAAACCAAAACAACCACTCAGAGATCTCAAGCTAGGAAAACATGAAATTAATGGCTCTTTCACCAAAGTGTTTCTTCCACAGGAATACTGGGTCATTTGGCTTCTGTATGAATATTCCACTGTCATTTCTTAGGGACTGTAACATAGGAAATCTTGAGCTAAAATGCTACTGCATGAAAAAGAGAAAAATCAATCATTCTTAAATACATAAAAAGATATTCAAACCTCAGTGAAAAGAAATGCAAATTAAAACAACTTCTGAGATCTAATTTTTAACCTGTAACATTGATATTTAAAAACTTTCACTGGGGCCAGGTGTAGGGGCACAAGCCTTTAGCCTCAGTACTCCAGAGACAGAGGCAGTGGATCTCTGTAAGTTCAGAGCCAGCCAGAGCTATATAGCAACATTCAATGTAGCCAGGGCTATATAGTGAGACTCTGTCTCAAACAAAGTTTCACAGGGGCTGGCTCAATGGTTAAGAGCTAAGAGCAGTGGCTACTCTCTCAGAAAACCTGGGTTCAGTTCTCAGTACCTATATGGCAGCTAACAACTGCCCATAACTCCAGTTCCAGGAGATCTGATGCCCTCCTCTGGCCTCCATGGGTATTGCATGCATGTGGCACACTTACACACATGCAGGCAAAACATACATATAAAATAAAGATAAATAAATTTTTAAAAATTAAGTTTCAGAGGGCTGGAGAGATGGCTTAGCAGTTAAGAGCACTGACTGTTCTTGTAAAGGACCCGGGTTTGATTCCCAACACCCACATGGAGGCTATAAACCGCTCTTAACTCCAGTTCCAGGGAAATGCAAAGCCTTCTTCTGACCTCCATGGCATAGCATGACACGGTGCACTCACATACATGCAGGCAATACACTCATACACATGAAATAATGATAATAAATTTTTTTTTGGTCTTTTTTGAGACAGGGTCTCCTTGTAGCCCCAGCTGTCCTGGAACTCACTATGTAGACCAGGCTGGCCTTGAACTCACAAAGATCCACCTGCCCTGCCTCCCAAGTGCTGGTATTAAAGGCATGCACCACCACGCCCAGCAGGGATACTAAAATATTTTTTAAAAATTAAGTTTAGACCAGCAAGATGGCTTAGCAAGTAAAAGTGCTTCCTGCCAAGCCTGACAACCTGAGTTCAATTCCCAGAGCCCACATAGCGGAAGAAGAGAACCATTCCTGTAAGTTGTCTTCTGACCTCCACTGAGGTGCCATGGTGTGTACACCCCACACAAACACACAAAATAAGTAAATGCAATAAAAAAAATTGTTTTAAGTTTCACAACATGTATTGTAAATGTATGGAGAAAAAAGGGCCCTCACATCAGTCTGGTGGAAGCACAAACTGACACAGCTCAGCAGTTCTTCCTGTGGCTCTCTTTAAGTCCCGCCCGATTTTCAGAAGGATTCAGAAAAGCGTAGTCTCTCCTTTCCTTCTTCATAGTCTCTTCCTAAGCATGCTTTCCCTAATGCTTTGGGCTGCCCCAGCATCTTGTATCTCTTTACATTTCTCTAAAGTTTCCTTCTCCCCACCATGTGGTTGCTAGTCTGCCCCGTGTCTGACCTCCATGCTGGCTCTAAACCTGCATGGCTTCATGGCCTTTTCCCTTTTCTCCTCCATTCTCCTCCTCCTGGCAGCTGGTGAGATTTCCACCTTGCCTGCCTTGAGGATTTTTCTTTAAATTCTAATAAAATTACCCTAAAGCTTGGAAGGAAGGAAGAAAGGGAGGGAGGGAGGGATGGAGGAAGGAAGGGATAGAGCTCATTGCTCCGTAACAAGTACTTTGACAACATTTCCCTTTGCTCCTGCAATTCTTCTAAAAATTTATTTTACATATAAACTTCCATGTGCATTAAAAATCATTTTGACAAGATTATTTATGGTAACATTGCTTATAACTGAAAAATAATAAAAGTAATCTAAATGGTCACCAAGAGACTGTAAACAAGTATACATTAATACAATAACATATATGCATATAATAGAACGCTCTGAATCTTCTAAAGGCAGAACAGGCATTTCATGTACTGTTTAAATAAAAAATTCCACATATAGAAACAAGCTTCGTCTATAAATGACAGTGTAAGTAATCTGTTATTTGTGTAAACAAGGGGGATAATTACTATATGTGTGCTTTCTTACATCTGCCTAACAGATCTCTGGGAAGATACATGAGATAATAATGCCACTGATTGGAGGAAACAGGCAGGTAGCTGGAGACAGGGTGGCATCATGCTTTTCTCTGCACATCTTCATATATTTTTCTACTTTGACCTATTCAGAGCTATAAAGTAGTCAAGTAAAACAAACAAAACCAATAAAGTAACACGTTCTATCTGAGCCTCTTCTGACACTGCCCCTGATGGGCTTCTTCCCATTCTCTACCTCTGTGACCTGCTGCTCTTGCCAGAACCATCAACATGAAATGCTTAAGCTTTCTAGAATGTCCTTTGCCAAAGCAGTGACCTCTGCCACAAGGCATGTCACCACCAAGACTGGTAGAGTAATGGCAGCTGAATGGATCTCAAAGCCTAACAACACTCTTGAAAGGACAGTACTGAAACCACCTGAGTATGTTTGAGTTTAGATTTGTTTGTTCTGTTTTGTTTTTGCAGCACTGGGGATTAAACCTCAATCTTTTGCATTCTAGGCAAACACTGGACCATTAGGTACAACCAAAGCTCCAGAAACCTCCTGAAATTCATAGCCAGAATTAAGAACAAAGACCCAGAAATTCTTTCCTGCCACATATCAGGTGACACTGATCTGAAGAATGACATGCAATGAACCTCTCCAGGAGGCTGACAACAACCTTGCTACAGTGATGGCTGAGCACTCCTAGGCCAGGTCTCTCTTAACTTATCTAGGCAAGAACTTGGTTTCTACAAGCAAGAAAGGAAACACCATCTAAGCAAATCTGAAAATCAGCCAGTTTCAACTAAAGTAATTCTAAATATGTGCACAATCCTACTTTCTCTAATGCTACTTGGAATAAAACACACAGGATTTAAATGTAGCCTGACTGATTAGTTCCTAATCAGCCACTTCAGATGGTAAGAAGTAAAAAGGCTGGCCTAGGGGCTGGAGAGATGGCTCAGCAGTTAAGAGCATTGGCTGCTCTAGCAGAGGACCTGGGTTTGGTTCCCAGAACCCATAAGGTGGCTGACAACTGTCCATAACTCCAGTTCTCAGGGATCTGATGCCATCTTCTGGCCTCTTCAGGCATCACATGCATGTGGTGAACTTACATATATGCAAGCAAAACATTCATACACATAAAATAAAAATAATAAAGCATTTTTTTAAAAAACTGTCAGAATACAGATATAGCTGGCCCCAAATCTGCCAGAATGCACATGGATGCCCTTCTACAACGCCACTTAGATAGGTACTCACGGCTTCCATCAATGATGGTGGAGGTGGTTGGCAGTGAGATCACCTGGAACTGGGGTGACACAATAGCAATGGGAGGCCGATTCTTACGGGGCTCTGTAAGAAAGTGACCCCCAAAGAAAGGGAAACATAAATTATAGTTGGAATAGGCCACATCTGGGCAGATTACAAATTCATTTCCAATACAAAATTGAATGAAGAATTATCAGATAGGAAAGTAGCAAGATCAGGTTGTCATTCTCACATCAGACACTTGGTCAGGGCTCTTCCAAACCTGATCATTCCTTGGACCATGCAGAAACAGTACTGCTAACTGTGGTCTAGATTGGTCAGGAACTCACAATCCTCTAATCCCAGACTCCTGAGGGTACTCTTTTGTGTCAGTGCATGGTTTGCTCTCAAACTTCTTTCAAATGTCTCCCAAAATGCAACACAAGAAACTTTGCTATTGTTCTATGATATACCAACGTTGGCTCATTTTAAAAGAGTGACAGGATGGAATTTGTTTCCATTGTGAGAGAACGTGGTGTTTCAGTGAGGAAGTCTGTAGTCTCTGGAGAGAGATCAGAAATCACTGGTCACCAGGCTGCTCTCCTTCTGCTTCTCCTGAATGTCTGCAAGACCTGAATGTCTCTCAGCTCTCTTCCCACTTGGAGAAGTGGGTTTCTGGTAGACAGGTCATTGCTCAGGCCTCACAGTACTATCGACCTGTGACTATTGGTTCCCTACTCAACCCAGCATTGGAGCTAGAACACTTGGAACAAATATGTACTTTGCTACTATAATCTTTTACTACACTGAAGTAGGAACTGCCCAATAAATACAATTATCCCCCCACTTAAAAAAAATAGGAATTAAAAACTTGAAGTCAGCTGGGCATGGTAATGCACACCTTTAATCTCAGCACTCAGCGGCAGAGGCAGGCGATATCTGTGAGAGCTATGAGAGGCCAGCCTGATCTACAGAGCAAGTTCCAGGACAGCTGAGGGGAGATGCTGTCTCAAAAAGGCCAAAACAATAACAAGGGAGTCCGGGTGCTGCACGAGGTGGGCGCACAGGGATCTTGCAGTGGCTGCAGAGCGGCTATGGGGCCGCCAGGCCTCTGGCAAGGCACAGCTCAAGCACCGGCTTAGAGCCAGGATTGAAGGTCCAAGATGGATGATCAGGATCCTGGGGGCATTAGCCCCCTTCAACAAATGGTGGCCTCAGGGGCTGGGGCTGTGGTCACCTCTCTATGACACCCCTGGTTGTGGTGGTCTGCCTGCAGTCTCAGAGGCTTTCAGTTCCCAGCAAGCTAACACCTCCCTCAAGATTCTGGAATCTCTCCTATACCAAATCACCCTCCCCTCTACAATCCCCAGGGAAATGCCTCCTTTACTGCAATGGTGTCTTGGAGCCCCTGTATCTGTGTCCAAATGGTCCTCTCTGTGGTACGTGGTTTCAAGATCCTACCCGCTTCACCTGCAACCATGGACGCCTTTGTGAAAATTGTGAGGCATGAGGGTACCAGGATCCCGTGGAGTGGCCTCCCATCCACCTTAGTGATGATTGTACCAGCCACCACCATCTACTTCACTGCCTATGACCAGCTCAAGGACTTCCTATGTGGTCGAATCCTGACCTCTGACCTCTACAAACCCATGGTGTTTGGTGCCCTGGCCCACGTGGGCACTGTGACAGTGATCAGCCCCCTGGAGCTTGTGAGGACCAAGCTGCAGGCTCAGCACATGTCATACCGGGAGCTAGCCACCTGTGTTCAAGCTTCAGTGGCTCATGCTTGAACAGCTGATGCTTACTGTGGCTGGGCTGGGGTCCCACAGCCCTTTGAGATATGCCCTTCTGAGCTCTGTATTGGTTCAACTATGAACTGGTGGAGAGCTGGCTGAATGGGCTGAGACCAAAAGACCAGACATCGGTGGGTATCAGCTTTGTGGCTGGTGGCATCTCAGGAACGGGTGGCTGCCACCCTCACTCTAACCTTTGATGTGGTAAAGACACAGCAGCAGGTCTCACTGGGAGCTGTGGAGACTGTTAAGAGTGAAGCCCTGGAGAGTTGACTCCACCTGGTTCTTGCTTCAAAGAATCAGGGCTGAATCAGGCACCAAAGGACTCTGCAGGTTTCCTCCCAAGGATCATCAAGGCTGCTCCCTTGTGTGCCATCATGATCAATACTTATGAGTTTGGCAAAAGCTTTTTCCAGAGGCTCAACCAGGAACAGCCTCTGAGCCACTGAAAGGCGAGGAGCCACGCAGCATAGTGGGAGCAGGAGACTGAGCCAAGTGCCTTTCCCTCCCAATGCGGTCACCAGGCTGCCATCACAGTTTGATTCCTGCTGTTCCCTTTCCCCCCAGATCACCACTTCCAAGTTCAAGACCAAATCTGACAACTGCCCCTTCTTTGTATTCCCTTTGTGTTTATTGTAGCTTGGTCCAGAGGAATCAAGATCCTGGGGCCAAGTTGTCTGCCCAGCCCTGTTCATTCCCTGTCTAAAGATGATGATTTCTGTGCAAAACAAAAAACAAACAAACAAACAAACAAAAAACAGTAACAAAAAACCCCTGAAGTCAAATCTCCTCCTTAGGAATCCTGCAGAGGGAGAGACACATCTGGGGCTGCAGACTCACCAGGCTTCACTGTCACATTCACATAGCCTTCTCCATGGGCGTTCTGACCATCTACAATCACCTTGAATTCATACAGGCCTGGAGTCAGCTGAAGAGGTAAGACAAGATTTTTTAGACAACTGCAAAGAGCAGAAATTGTATTTAACACAACAGAGTATAAAGAGCTTTCCTATCCTGAATCTTGCACTCTTTTCTTGCCCTATTTTCAAAGTGGAAAAAAGTAAAGTAGCTAAAGAGATTAAAGAATGAGTTAAACTAATAAGAAACATCGCTTTTACTGTGACTCTTATTACTAGCTGCCTCCAGAACAGGAAGAGGGATTTTAATCTCTCTATACTCCCATTTTCTTCTCAGAGGAATATTAAGGGCCCAACCATCCTACTTTACAGTTATGAAATTAAAATAACATCTCTTCGAAAGTCTTATTAAAAAACCAAATAGTTAAGTTTCTAAATATTTTCTCCTTCCCATTTCCACTAACTGGATACATACAAAGTAAAGAGGGGAACACATAAAACACCCACTGTCTCACTACCCTAACATGCCAGTGCCCCATATTTTTCCCTGTAATCCTTGACGACATTTAAAAAATTCCTGTATTCAGCTCATCTATGCAAAAACTCATTTCTTAAGAACTAATCATATACACATCACTAACCTAAGCTTGGCGTCTGGAGGTGAGCAAGGTAAGATCCCCACCTTCAAGGAGCTCAAATTACTTCTTACTGTTCTTTCTTCTATTCATTTAGCATGAATAATATAGTCTCTTTAACATTCATTCATTTCATGACTACAGAACAGCACATGAATAAATGTGTCATAGTTCACGTAAACATTCCACATTGTTGGATACTTGGGTTGCTTCCAAAATTTTCCAGCTATGACTAGTGCTATAATGAACATCTTGGAGGAAAATAAAAGTTTTCTTTCTTTTACCTTCTTTGGGTAAATACTAGTCGACCACAGCAGCATTGCTGGCCACTTTCTCCTCATAATGCTCTTCTCCTGGGGCTTTCCCCGCCTTACCTTTGCGATTTCCTTCCATTTCATCTACCTTCCATCTTTTTTAAAAAAATTTGTTTATTAGGCGTGGTGGCACACACCTGTAGTCCCAGCATGTGGGAGGCAGAGGCAGGCAGATCTCTGTGAGTTCAAGGCCAGCCTGGACTACATAGTGAGTTCCAGGACAGCTGGGGCTACAGGGAGATCCTGTCTCAAAAAGACCAAAAAAAAAATTGTTTATTATTTTATGTGTATGCGTGTATTGCCTGCATGTAGGTAAGTGCACCCATGTCGTGCAATGACCTCGTCAGAAGAGGCTGTCGGATCCCCTGGGACTGAGTTACGCACAGTTGTTAGCTGCCATGTGGGTGCTGGGATTCGAACCTGGATCTTCTGCAAGAACAACCAGTGTTCTTAACTGCTGAGCCATCTCTCCAGCCCCTACCTTCCATTTTTTTAAACAACTGTGTGCCCCTGGATCCCAACCTCTTCACATACTCTCTCTTAGCTATGACTACAGCTTCAGTTTTAGGCAGATGTACAAATTTATCTCTTGAGCCAAACTTTTCTCCTGGTTTCTAGTACTTTCCCCCAGATGCTAATGGGACAAATTCACTTAAATGTCTTGTAGGTACCTGAAATCACTCTACCAAAAATGTGTGAATCATCTGCCAATCTCCTTCAAACTTGTGTTTCCTTCTGTGCTTGTCATTTAATTTACCTGAGTCTTATTTTATTTATTTATTTATTTATTTATTTATTTATTTATTTATTTATTTATTTTTGGTCTCCCTGTAGCCCCAGCTGGCCTGGGACTCACTATATAGACCACGCTGGCCTTGAACTCACAGAGATCTGCCTGCCTCTGGGAATAAGGCATGTGCCGCCATGCCTAGCTCCAGAAGTTTATTTTCTAAACAGCTCAGACTGGTTTCAATGACTTTGAACCTTTGATATTCCTGCCTCTGCTTCCTAAGTGCTAGAGCTATAGGCATGTGTTATGATGCTTGGTTTTTTATTCAGTGCTGGGGATCAAACCCAGGACTTGATGCTTGGTAGACAAACACTGCCAATTGAGGGATATCCCCAGCACCACAAATTTAAGTGTCCCAGCTACGCATGGTGGCACACACTTTTAACATACAAGTAAGTGCACCCATGTCATGCAATGCCCATGGAGGACAGAAGAGGCTGTCAGATCCCCTGGAACTGGAGTTACAGACAGTTGTTAGCGGCCATGTGAGTGCTATGATTCGAACCCGGGTCTTCTGCAAGAAAAGTCAGTGTTATTAACCACTGAACCATCTCTCCAGCCCCCTTATTTTATTTATTTTTTAAAATTTCATGTGTATGAGTGTTTTGCCTGCATGTACAGAAGTGCACCATGTGTGTACAACACCCACAGAGGTCAGAAGGCAGCATCAGAGCTCCTGGAACTGGAGTTAAGAATGGGTCTTAGTGCACTGGAGAGTAGGCTCAGCAGTTAAGAATACTTGATGTTCTTGCAGAAGACCCAGGTTTAAATCCCAGCACCCACATGGCAGCTAACAACTGTCCGTAACTCCAGTTCCAGGGGATCCATCAGCCTCTCTGTCCTCTCAGGGCATTGCACGACACGGGTGCACTTACCTACATGCAGGCAATACACGCATACACATAAAATAAAAATAATAAATAAAATATTTTAAAAAAGAATGGGTATTAGCCAACATGTGGGTGCTGGGAAACTAAACCCAGTTCCTCTGGAAAAGCAGTAAGTGGTCTTAACCACTGAGTCATCTCTCCAGCCCCAAGAGTCTAATTTCAATTAATTGATTAATTGGTTGATTAATTAATTAATTAATTAATTTTGGTCTTTTTGAGATGGGGTCTCCCTGTAGCCCCAGTTGGCCTGGAACTCATTATGTAGACCAAGCTGGCCTTGAACTCACAGAGATCCACCTGCCTCTGCCTCCCAAGTGCTGGGATTAAAGGGGTGCGCCACCACGCCAAGTCAAGAGTCTAATCTTAAAAGCTAGAATTTTCCCAGAGGTCTTTTCCCCAATACCCTCATTCAGTTTCTCAGATTTGCCCCCATCCATACTGCCAGCACCTGGGTTCTTCATCCCCTTATCAGAGTAGTTATTAAAGCACGGGCTTAAAGATGGAAGGTTCTAGATCCAACTTGCCATTTAATGGCTTTATGAACTCTGGCCAAGACACTTTCTTTTTTAAAATTTTTTAGTTTTTTTTTTTTTTTTTTTATTTGTAAAACAGATGTTAGTAGCTATGTATTGGAATGTTTGAAAATAAAAGAAATAACTAAGTAAAACAATTAGCAATGTGTCTAGTACATGGTCTGGGTTCAATAGGTGGCTTTTCATTTTAATTCTATTTCAGTGGTTTTATTCAGAATAATATCATTTCCTACCTAAATTTGTCAACAGATTCGTCTTTGGTCTGCCCATGTTGAGTCTTATCTCTGCCAATCTGTGGAGAGGGCAATCTTTCTAACCTGAAAATCTAAACATGTCTTTTGAAGGCTTTGCACTCTCTGGATAAGACTCAAAGATAAGGCCAACAAGATAACTCAGCAGATAAAGGCACTTTGCTGTTAAGCCTGAAGACCACACGTGCACCACGACACACATGCACACCGTGACATACACACACACAAATAAAAATAAATGAAAAGATTCAAAGACATGCAAAAGTTCTGCTCCACATAGCCTTTCAACTCTGCAATTTATTTATGCCACTGCTCTTCACGTCTCGGGGAGCCAGTCAGGGTGACGTTCCTTTCTCTACATCTTCACTTCATCAAGCTCTGGCCCAGTGCTACTTTTGCTAGGGTCGTCTCCCTCCACCCTTTACCCAGGAAGTCAGGCACCTTCCATGACCCAAGTAGGCAGACCAAGAAATCTAAGCCCCAGGGCTTCAGTGACCTCCTTTACTGACCGCCTAGCTTCTGTTATAATTCCCTGCTTCCTGTCGGTGTCACCTAGACTCTACTGTCCTTGAACATTAAGATTATGATTAATTCACTGGGTAATCCCAAGTGGCTGCCAATGTGCAACGAATAGCTGCTGAATGCTGGACCAAAGGACATGAACATTTTTATTGCTTATGACTACTCTGAATCCTTGGGGACTGAGCCAGTATACACAGTCATGTGGCCACAAATAACCTAGCTATCTCCCATATTCTAAAGTCCTTATGTCACCTTGCAAAGCTGTTTAGTGTGTATTTCCAGCCATCGCTACCATGCTGGCAGAGTCTTCTCACCAGAAATGAGAATTTGAGAATCATATACCAAACAAACACTGGATGTCAGCCAGTTAGACTTTTGAAGGAGTCACTTCTGAAAAAGTGTTTCCAACTTAAGTGTGGACAGGAAATTCTGTACTTCCCATTTAAGAAAATCAACAACCCCTCTACTTTAGCCCTGTAAGAGAAGGAAGGCAAATTCACCTTGGAGAGTTTCAGGATCTGGGAATGTTTCCTTTCCATTTCTCCACTGTAGTCTCTGGGATGAGTAATCAGCTGCCAGGCGTAGGTGTAGGTTTCTCCTATAGGAGGGCAGTTAGAAAATCATGAAAACACGCACCTACACACAAAAGGCTGCCAATAACAAATCGTTTCTAAAGCCTGCCAATAACAAACTTCCTTTAAATCTCAACAAAGCCTTAGTTTTTAAGATTGAATCCAAAAGCCTGGAGGGAAGCCAAGCATCCCCTGAAGGTGGATGCTGACTCAGCACCGCTCAGTCTCCTTCTCTCAAGAGTGTTCATTCAGACCCAAACTTGCCCTGGGTCAATGCTCCCTAAAAAAAATCCCAGGTTGTTCATGGGGTGCCCTCGCTGAAAACATATACCCTACCAACCTTGACAGATGAACATTAGGAACAAAGGCCATTTTCTTACAAAACTTCTTTTGCAACAAAGAATAGCAATGACTTCTAAATAACATGGTTCAAAAATAGCTTTCTACAGAGTGCTAACAATGCTCTCACTGAGGTCATCACAGCCTGGTGAGTTAAAAGAGCCACTTCATTCCTGCTGAGCTAAATAACACACTGCAGAAGATGGTAGGGCATGGCCCCTTTAAAACAGGCCCCACCGAAATTAATTAAGATCAAATGAAGCATTAAATGATCCTCATTTGCAACTTAGATGGTATCACAGGGTAGTACAAAGGTAGACTCCGGTTATCTAAATGGCATCCCTCCCCAGGAAAAGTGATCTTAAATTTGGGGGGGTAGAGCAAAATGCATTTCTAGCTAAGGAATGGTGGAATTTGGTAGATGGTTTAGTTTAGGTCACTACTCAAAAGTGAGAAGAAAAAAAGTCTTAAGTGCTTAGCAAGGCATAATTATCTTTTTATTTCATGAGCCCCAATGTTGAACTTAGCACACAGAACCTAATCACCCCTCCCTCAAATCAAAGACCAGATTTTATTTTATAAGCCTTCCTCCGCCAAACTATATTATTTTGGCCTGTTGTTAGCCCAGCTGCTCTCACAAATGCATGAGCAAAAGTCAGGTCAGAGAAAAGGCAGGAAACAGTGACAGAGTCAGGACTCCACTAAGAGACAATTCTTTCAAGTAGAGTTAAAACAATTTTTTTTCAGGGCAGGAGCACTGGCAGCTCTTTGCAGAGGATCAGGGTGGGGTTCAGTTCCCAGCACCCACATGGTAGTTAACAGCAGCCTTTAACTCCAGTTCCAGGGGATCTGACGCCCTCTTCTGGCCTCTGTAAGCAACAGGCACGCACCTGGTAGAAGGTTTAGTTTAGGTTACTAATTAAAAGTGAGACTTAACACAGATGCAAGTAAAATACACACATAAAATAAAAAAATAAAATCTTTAAAAATTTTTTTCCTTACAGAAAACACATACTAGTTTGGGAACTGATAATTTTATCATATCAAAGGCTAGCAACAAATTTCCCCAAAAGGACACCATTCCTAGGTCAGAAGAGCTCAAGAAATGGATTATGCCTTACAGGCAGAAATTTGCCCATGTGTAGAAACAGCCAAGTATATCAGTATCTGTTAGAGAGAATGGTCTAGGGCAAGTGTTTTGAAGCCAGATGTTCTGACAATACAGGGATCCTAGTCGGCTGCCAAAAGGCGGGAAAGGATTCTAATATGCGGAGGGAGTCCTGCTTCAGTGGCCCCAACTTTTAGAAGTTTGAAATCACCTACTTCATGGATCTGATTAAGGCTAAAGAACTTGGGGAGGGGAGAGTTTGAAAAGAATTTGTTCTGAACTGATTGCTTTTGAGTGCTGATCTGTAATATGATAGTAACTCAGAAAAATGTAAATGCAAATACAGGATAAAAAAATACAGCAGAGCCCCCACATAGCTTTCACAAAAGGGCAAAAGTGGAAGAAATCATTGCTTAAAGAAGCTCTTTCCTCACCTTTATCTTTTTTTTTTTAATGAGTGTATTGCCTTAGTATGTGTTAAGTGCAACTGTGTTGTTGTGCAAAGCCCACAGAGTGTCAGAAGGTGGTGTCAGATCCCCTGAACTGGAGTTACAGACAGTTGTCAGCAGCCATGTGGGTGCTGAGTATTGAACCTAGGTCCTCTGCAAGAGCAGTCAGTGCTCTTAACTGCTGAGTCATCTCTCCAGCCCCTCTCACCTCTATCTTAAAGGGTCACTAAATTCATTTGAACCTAGCACCCAAGAAGAAAGGAATGAACTGGTAAGAACTAGTCTCTTTAAGAGCAGAAATACAGAACAGAACAGGGATTCAGGTTCTGGAAAAGTGTTTTTGCTAGACGCTAACATTAAGAATATTGAATTGGGGTCGGAGAGGACCTTGTGGAAGACCCAGACTTGGTTCCCAGCACCATCATGGTGGCTAACAACCACCTGCAACTCCAGTTCCCTGGGATCTGATACTCTTTGCAGGCACTACACACATGTGGTGCTTATTTATATGCAGGCAAAACCCTCATATACATAAAATAAAAATAAACAAATAAAAAAAATTTAACATAAAATGGAAAGGCCAGTTCTGAAACAGGTAACAGCATTCTACTTGATCAACCTTTTTGTTAGATTATTTTTGAGACAGGATCTCCCTGTAGCCCCAGTTGGCCTGGAACTCATTATGTAGACCAGGCTGGCCTAGATTTCACAGAGATCCGCCTGCCTCTGCCTCCCAAGTGCTGGGATTAAAGATGTGCAGCACCATTCCTGGCTTTTGATCAGCCTTTTAATAAGAATTCCATAAACCCAACCAATCACTTTCTAATGCTTAACTCATAGATTATGTTTGTGTTTATGAGTCAAATTTTGTATATTATTATAAACTAAAAAGATGAAAAGGATGCTCACATCACAAAAGTTCTAAACAGTGAATTTATCACCAACTCATTTATATAGCTTATAAATTTTGTATGTCACATTGAAACTTGTACTTTCTTTTTATTTAAAAAAATTTTTGCCTGGCATGGCAGCACACGCCTTTAATCCCAGCACTTGGGAGGCAGAGACAGGTGGATCTCTGTGAGTTCAAGGCTAGCCTGGTCTACATAGTGAGTTTCAGACCAGCTGGGATTACAAGGAGACCGTGTCTCAAAAAAGACTCTCCCCCAAATTTTATTATATTTAATTAATTTACTTGAGAGGGGGCTGGTTCTATTCCTGGAGAATAGAACTCAAGTCACGTTTGATGGCAAGTGACTTTACCTGCTGAGTCATCTCACCAGCCCTGACTTTAAGTCACAAATCTACATTAGCAGTAGTCTTGAACAACTTCAAGTTCTACATCTCTCTCTCTTTTTTTTATTTTATGTATATGAGTGTTATGCCTACATATATGTAGGTACAGCCATGTCGTCCATTGGATCCCCTGCAACTGGAGTTACGGACAGCTGTTGGCTGCTGTGTGGGTGCTGAGATTCAAACCAGGGTCTTCTGCAAGAACAGCCAGTATTCTTAACTGCCGAGCCATCTCTCCAGTCCTGAAAAGTCTACATCTCTTATTTACTAGCTTTTTTAGACAAAATAAACAGATTAATCTGAGTCTTGGTTCCTTCCTTTTTCTTTTATTTTCTTCCCTGTCCTTTAAAAAAGTTTTTTTTTTTCAATACTGGGGACTAAATCCATCCCCAGTATTAAATGGATATAATACAAGCTAATAGAAAAGGCACTAGTGAGCACTAACTACATGCTAGGCACTGAACTAGGTCATTTATTTATTTATTTTTATTTTTATGAATGTTTTGCTTGCATGTATATAAGTGTACCACATGTGTGGAGGCCAGAAAAAGGTGTCAGATCCCCTGGAACTGGGGTTATAGATGGTTGTTAGCCTTCACATGGGTGCTGGGAATCAAACCTGGGTCCTCAGGAAGAGCAGTCAGTGCTCTTAACCACTGAGCCTTCTCTCCAGCCCTAAACTAGGTCATTTATATATTATCACATTTTGCCCTTTAAAGTAACCTTGAGTAAAGTAACCTAAAGTAGGAATTATTATTCCTATTTTTACTAAGAAATAGAAAGGTAGAAGTAATTTGCTTAAAATAATTCAGATAATAACTGACTGAGCTAGGATCAGAACCCAGGCTTGACATCAAAGCTCACAGTCATTTCCTGGGCTCCAGGTACAGCTCAGTGGCAGAGCACTTGTCTAGCACATGTGAGACCCTGGGTCCCCTCATCAGCACTGTTTAAAAACTGAGCCTACAATCTCAAATTATATAGTATATTGCCTTTTGTATCACTTGAGTATTAATATGTACATATGTTATAGTCTATCTTCACAGGGCAATTGTAAAAAGTAAATAAACTGAGGTTTGTCGGCATCAAAGTGAACCCAAATGTTACCCTCAAGGGACATTTTACCTTCTTCTGGTTCTGGGAGAACATATGCGTATAGCTGGACTTCATTCTTAGGCAGGGTGATCTGAACACTCTTTCCGGCAGACACCACCAGTTCCTTTACAACTGGAGACAAAGTAAATATACCAGATAAGAAACAGACCCTGATTGTTTTTTCTCTCCTTCCTTTGTGATGAAAATCAAACTCTTCTCCTGAGTTGTCCTCAGCTACTACCCTCACCTGCTAATTACTTGTCTACTGTCCAATTCCCTCTGGTTTGATTCTGCATCCACATTTCCATTGAAAAGGGTGTCTCGCGGTCATCAGTGGGCTGCTCCTTAGCATATCTAACACATGTGTCTCAATCCCCGCCTGTCATGGTGGTGGCATCCATTCTTGCTGACTGTCTCCATCTTAAAGCATTTCACTAAATGACACCAGATTATTCTATATGTGCTCGGACTTCTTCCCCACAGCACTTTACTGCAGTCTATCCCCAGACCTGCTCTACATGCTACTTTCCAAAGAGTTCAAATTCTGTTTCAATGACCACCTTTATCAGAAAAATAACTTTTTTTTTTTTTTTGGTCTTTTTGAGGCAGGGTCTCCCTGTAGCTCCAGCTGTCCTGGAACTCACAATGTAGACGAGGCTGGCCTTGAACCCACAGAGCCCCCCCTGCCTCTGCCTCCCGAGTGCTGGGATTAAAGGCGTGACCACCACGCCCAGTGACAAATAACTTTTTCTTTTTAATAAGACACATAAATATCAAAGGCAAAGGCCAATCACAGGTCCACCTTTCCTTTTCAATCGCTACAACTAATGACTCACTATCACAACAGGACTATTCCAATATTCTTAACTGTTCCTCCACCTATGGCCTCTCTCCACTCCAATCCATTCTGTCTTCCTATAACATGGAACATGATTAGTCTTTCTAAAACACCTGCACTGTTACTCTCCCATTTGAGACTCTTGACTCCCCCACCACATTTACAACCACACTCCTAACCTGGCATAAGGGAATCACCATCATCTGATCTCACCGAATCACTTTTCCCACCCAATTCTGCCTCTAGTTACTTTCATGTTCCCTCTCGTGCACCACAGAAGCCATGACACCTCTGTGAGGCACATGGAGACTTTGCTGCAACTATTTCCTCACTGGGATGTTTGCTTTTCCTTTCCAGGAGATTTCTGCAGACCATTTCAGTTCAAAACGGATCCACTTCTTGAGCCACTGGGGCATCTCTGGAACTCCCAAGTCAGCACATTGCTCTTCCACTATTGGCCAGCCATCCCTTTACTGTCAGCTTCTCCATGTTGGCATTATTGGTATTTTGTAGCAAGTTAAGTGTTGTTTGGGTTGGGGGGAGCCTGTCCTGACTGCTGTTAAGATGGTTTAACAACCAAAAACATTTCTGACCATTGAGAACCACTGATTCAGTCTAATTCCTCTGATAATAATTGTTCACCTGATTTGAGGCCTCAACTCAAGCAAACAATAGGCTGGTCGATTAATATTGCAAGACTGGGGGGTGAAAAGGGCTTCTGAGACAAATATGAAACTTGAGATTTATCTGTCTCTGCTAGGGAACATTGCACTTAGAGAAAAATGAAACCATCCTTTATGGAACCTACAGTCTGTGGCTGCCTCAGGAGATGGAATAAGAGCTCTTTGATGTAACTTTCAGGAAAAAAAGAGAAAACATTATACTCAGAGGAAGTACATTGGGCCAAAAGAAGAAAAAAAAGCTAGTTGATACAGTACAAGCCAAGCCCTTCACAATTATACAGAGAATGACAGGAATTCTATCTGAATACAGAAATCACTTTGGTGTTTGAGGACCAAAACTCTTTAAGTCATGTTTGACTACCACCAAAAGAGACCATAAAAAACTAAAAATTGGCAAAAATTTCTGCTCACTGGTTTTGCTTCATCTCAGTGTTTGCAGGATTAACCATTAACCATGGATTAACTGTTTCCACCTAATACCTTAGCACTGTACTCATAAAACATATTTGTTAAGGCAAAGCTCTAGGTATAAATTTCCTTTCTATGGGCTGTTCTTTTTAGAAAGAGCTGTTTAGAAGTTGCTGTTTTTACAAAATGCTCTAAAAATCAGATAGGCAAATGCCTGACCTACAACCAGGTTTTTGGAAAGCAAACTATCTCTTTCTTCCCAACAGCCTCTGTTTGCTTGATTCCTTGAACATCACTCAGCTGAATCTTCTGCATTTTTTATTTAGGTATTTTTGTTTGTTTTGTTTTGATTTGTTTGAAATGGTCTCATGTACTCTAGGCTGGTCTCACCCTCACTACATAGCAGAGGATGATCTTGAACTCCTGATCTTCCTGTACCTACTCCCAAGTGCTGGGACTACAGGTATACACCACCACACCTGGAAAATCTTGTGCCTTTAGTCAAATAGAATCTAAGAATATGTACCTCATAAAGCCCCACAGACTACTAAGAAAGGGATCTAGAGCTTCAGATCCTATAATTACAGGGGTACGGACAGATTATTTTATCCCTAACATGCCTCCTCTGTTCTCTCCTCTAAATGGAACACTTTGATCAAATGCTCCATTTTCCACCCTATTTCCAAGGGCAGGAGAAGAAGGCCTCACCTGGGGGTGGTGCTGAGGTGCTCTGGAAAGAGGCCTGGGGTGTGGGGGTGGCAGATCTGTAGGAGGGAGCCACTGGAAGAGAGTTATCAGTTTGGTTCTCAGTGCTTTTTATTTGCTGAGTGCTTGACGTAGGAATGGGATCCTTTGATGTTTCAGGATGGGCTGACACATTCTCTGGCGAACTAGGAATCTCTGCAGCAAGATCAGTGGCTATGGGGCTGGAAACTGTAACTGCTTTGTGGACCTAAAGAAATGCAAAAGATTAATTGAAACAGGCAAAAGTTACAGTTTCACAGGTCATGTCTCATGAAACCATAGCACATTAAACTATTTCTTAAAAGTGAAAAAATGTGCCCAGTGTAGTAGCACACACCTTTAATCCTAGTACTCAGGAACTCAGGAGCAGAGGCGGGAGGCTCTCTGTGAGATTGAAGCCAGCCTAGTCTACATAGTGAGTTCCAGGTAACCTGGGGCAACTGGGAGACCCCATCTCAAAAAAAAAAAAAAAAGTGCAAAAATGTCAAAAATATTAAGGAAGTAATATGACTACTGAAATTAAAATAGAGTTAAAATGTTTGTGATAGGGGCCAGAGAGATGACCCAGCCTCTAACACTGACTGCTTTTGCAGAGGACCCAGGTTCAGTACCCAGCACCCACATGGTGGTTCACAATTATCTATAACTCCAGTTCTAAGGGATCCAAGCCCCTCCTCTGGCCTCCATGGGCACCAGGCACACACATGGTGCATATACATACATATATACATACATACATACATACATACATACATACAGGCAAGATATTTATACACATAAAATGAAAATGAATAAATCTTGAATTTTTGTTAGATAATATTTCAGTGGTAAAACATCTTGGCATGTGCAAGGCCATGGGTTTAACCCCTAGAATCATAAATTTAAAACTAAAAGTAATATAGGGGTTGGAGAGATGGCTCAGCAGTTAAGGACCCTGGTTGTTCTTGTAGGAGACTGGGGTTTGAATCCCAACACCCACATGGCGACTAATAACCATCTGTAACTCCAGTTCCAGGGGATCTGATGCCCTCTTCTGTCTTCTGTTGGTACTGCACAATATAAGTGCACTTACGCACATGCAGGCATAATACTCATACACATAAAATAAAAATAAATTCAAAAAACCCAAAAGAAGCCAGGTGTGGTGGCGCACGCCTTTAATCCCAGCACTCGGGAGGCAGAGGCAGGTGGATCTCTGTGAGTTTGAGGCCAGCCTGGTCTCCATAGCGAATCCAGGCCAGCTAGGGCTACAGGGAGACCCTGTCTCAAAAAGACCAAAAAACAAACAAACAAAAAACACCCAAAAGTAATATAAATCTTCTGGAGTTTTGTTTTTTTTTTTACATACAAAAAAGTTTCTTTATTTGGGAATGGTGGCTCACACCTAATTCCAGCATTTGTGAAGTTGAGGCAAAAGGATTGCCAAGAGTTTGAGGTCATTTTGGACCACACAGTGAGTTTGAGGCCAGCCTGGGTTACAGAATGAGACCCTGTCTCAAAAGACAAAAAAATAAAAAAGTTTTCCTTAAAAACAAAATAACCATCCCTGTCACTGTCCACTGTGTTGTCAGCACCCTCATCCATTCCCCCCTGTCTGCCCTTCTGGTGAATCTAGTCAGCCAGAGGTCCCTGTTCCAGGAGGGTCAGCTGTTCCTCATCTACGGCAATCCATTGTCAGTATTCCTTTGGATAGAATTGGGGTCTGCTGTTCATTTTTCCTGTAGTATGTTGGGTTACTGTCTGGAAGAGTGGAAGAGCATCCTAGCCAACAAC